AAGTGCGCCTTATAGTCGTGAAAATACGGTATATATATATATATATATAGATTTTTTTTTTTTTTATCTTCAAATAACGAAAAAATGAATCTGAAAAAGGTTAGTTTGTTGGCACTAGTGGCCCGTTTTTATGGATAGGCTGAAAGGAAAGGGGGAGAGACAGACCACAGGTCAGATTTGAACCTGTGTCCAGGACTAAGGCCTCCATACATGGGCTGTAAAAACGACTTGCCCCGGGAGATCGGGCGATGGTTAACATTGAGCCCTGCATTACGTCTGCAAAGATACGTCCTGGTCTGGCGTAGGGCCCCAACCAGATGTCAGTGACGCCGCCCCTAAGAGGTCGTGGGCCCATAAGCAACAGCTGTCTCTGCTTACAGATATTTACGCCATTGCCCCATTTATACTATCCTTTTGAAACCGTGCCGAGATCGGCCTGAGCACGGTGACCGAGATAACCATTGAGTGTAAACTGCATGCACAACCGAACCGCGATAAACTGATACTAGTCCATCAGTAGGGCTCGGAGCGGTTCAGTTCTGGCTCGGTTCTCAGATAACAAAGAGCGCATGAGCGGACTGCGTCATCTCCTTACAGTCAGCCTCCGTAATCTTGAAATTTCAGACATTCATAAAAATCCCAGCTTCCCTACCATGACGCATGATTTCCTGTGATGATTCTGCTCTTATTGTTTCCTGCGTCTTTAAACTCTGATCAGACGATCGTTTGTCGTGTCCACTTCCCAAAACCCGACTGTTAAGCAAATTTACCAAAGGGTTCCTTCTTGGCCTGGTTTCTCTGCAAACTTCCTGAATGTTACAGGTGCCGCCAATTATTTAACTCTATAGAGCAGTAGTACCGGAGATCGCCACTAGGAGGCGAGGAACCGTGTTAGCGTGGTGTGTAAACGGTCGTAAGGAACTGAGCTCGGCACGGATCGGTTTTCAGAGCGAAGTGGCTAATATCAGTGCAAGCTCGCCGGAATTTGGCAGCGGGTGTAACGGCGACCAAATAACGGAGGAAACACGTTCCACCAAAAGTCAGTTCTGCTGTTTGTAAGATCATCGTCACGCTGATAGAAAATCATAAATTGAAAATAAAAAAAAAAGTATTAATTCCAAAAGGGAAGATCCTCTTTGGGACGATTTGACTGTAAACAGTCGTATTAAGAAAAGGGGAAATGTTTGATTTTATTTTATGTCATCCTGCTCCACAGAGCTACAGATGGGACGTCACTGTGTCGCCATAGCAACGACTGCTTTCCTTTCCCGTTGAAGGGAAGAGGCTGTCTCATTCTTGTTTCTACCCCTCCACCTTCAATCCAGGCGTCTTCACAGCAGAGAGTGTGTTGATAGTTAAGGGGCGGAGCTTAGGGGTTAGCCTGTTTCTGCATGAAATACCATGACTTCCTGATCTTAATCTCTCAGGTCCAGTTTGTCAAACTGATGTTCACCAGAATAAAGTTTCCACCATTCCACTTTTTATAGTAAAACTTTATTTTCAAATCCAGTGTTTAACATACATGATGTAAAAAAACAAAAAAACAAAATGTCCGCTCCGTCTCCTCTCAGTACACCTGGATGAGACCCGCCCACTCCGCAATAGGCCACACCCCGTTTTCCATCACGTTGCTAGGTGACGACTTCCAATCCCAGCTCTTCACCGGAACGTTCCAGGAGGCGCCGTAGTTTGCCATCACGTAATCCAACGTTTCACAAGGAACACGAACTTTGACCTCTAGAAGCTCCGCCCAGCACAGCGAGAAGGAAGGGAAGACGTACCTGAAGAAAAAGAAACTTTATTTAAAACTTTGGAATCAAACAAACGCAGAGAGAAACACATGATGACAGAAAGCAGAGGATTTCCCACGTTAAAGCGACAGTGGAGGATGTTCTTTGACCATCTAAATAATTGGTCCTCCTAACTGTCAATCATTCTGGTGATGGCCCTCCTACGTGCTCAGCCCCATTTTCAGTCACAGGTGGTGAATCTGACAGTTATTTATGCGAAAAATTAAAAGTTGTGTCAGAATTCAAATACCTAGCCATCCTAACAGACTCTAAACTAACGTTTAAATCCCAGATAAAAAAAAAGGTGCAATAGAGTCAAATTCAATATTATAAATTTCAATTCTATTCAGTTTATTTCTATAGTGCTAATTAATAACACGTCATCAGTGGCGGTTCTAGACCAAATGTACCAGGGGGCCAGGAGGGGGCCAGCGTGTTTTCATGGGGGCCCAGAAAAGCATGAAATAAAAAACACGACAAGGGGTTTAAATATATTAAAAGAGCTACATGAAGTTAAATTTCTATTCAGTTATATTTAATTAAAACTATATCTTTATTAGGGCAATATACATTCATAATTTAGGAATTGTACATATTTTGGGCTTTATTTAAGTTAAAATGACCGTTGTCTATAGAATGAGAATAAGAAATCAAGAAAAAAACTATAAATTCAGCTGTAAAAATTAGAGCATTTTTTAAATTTATTTTGAAAACAACGTTTAGTAACCAAGTAACCATGGCAACCCTGTGTCCAGACCGTCACAGAAGGATACTTGTTAGAGCCGACAGCTGATTGCTACAGCAGCGTCTCCCTGAAGAAAATAGTCTGTCTTATTGAAAATGTTTGGTTCTACAGTCAGTACAGACTTCAAACGGCGCCACCTGGTGGCTGCACCCAGATTAATCCTAACTATACTACAGCCCTGAACACTGAATACGACTTAGCTTCTGATCTAACAGAATAAATGTCATAAATGTCGTGGTTCTTAGCGCTCTCTAGCTAGGTAGAGCCCATTACAAATAAACCATGTTGCTGACAAGTCGCAACATTATGAGCATAAAATTATGAGAATACAATCGTAATATTAGGAGAATAATGTTGTTACATAATAAGTTGCAACATAATGAGAATAAAATTATAATACTAGGAGAAGAAAGTCGTAATATGATGAGAATAAAGTCATCATACCACAACCCGTTTCAGAAAGAAAGCTCTGACCAGCATATATGTACGTTTGCACCATCCTTTCAAAGCTCCGATACTAATTATAGACCCTTTAAGTCGGGCGAAAACAGCACGATTTTTTGCGCTTTTCGGTCCCATTTTACAGTCTAACGACCGCCTCCCCATCAGGAATCGTAAAGTCGCGAGAAAATCAAACATGTTTGAAATCCAGTCGGCCGTCATAAGGTGGTCGTGGGCAAATCGCTCAGTGGGCAAACAAGGATTCTTCTTCTTCCTGTCAGAGGTAAAAACCCAGAAGCATGGCGAGGGTGCAATGAGTGAAATTAAGGTTCTTTCTCTAACATAACAGACCGTAGCAGCCATGTTTGCTCAGCCATGTCTTCGTCCAAATATGTCGTCGCCTTTTCTTTTTAGGGTTTTCAGGTCAAAATTGTAGAAATTGCGAAAGGAAGTGCGTTTCACTCTAGTGAGTAGATCGCATCAGAGCGTCGGGTCGCACAAACATCGTGAGCTGTGAACTTTTAAACCCTGCAGTTTCGTCGTACAGTTTGGGTTTTGCTGCGTTTAATGATTGAAAGAAATCGTTCGGTGTACGCCCGACTTTAAATAACTCGATTAAACATCGCATCACTAAAGGCAGATGTAAACAGGAAGGAAAAGGTTTACTTGAACTTCCTGCCGCTTTTCGCCTGCGTTCCTCCATTCCACACCACGTCTCCTTCTCTGTAGAAGAAGAAAATGTCCAGCTTGACGTCCTCACCCAGAAAGGACAGCTCCAGGCTGTCCTCCACCTGCCCTTCAAAACAAAAGACCTTCAAAATAAAGGCCGACAAGCTTAAAATGAAACGCCGGGTCCAAAGCTACGACCTTTCCAAACTTGTGTTTGAGCGACAGCCCCGCGTCTCTGAAGGCCGCCACCATGTTGGGCCTGAAGTCTGCGATGAAGATCCCGATGTCCACGTCCCGGCTGTAGGAGATGATGCTGCACTGCCGGAACCATCCTGCAGGGGGAGACACAGGGCTATTGAGGGAAACTTTTCGTTTCCTTCATTAAGAGAAGAGGTCTCATGCAGAACCAGCGTTACCCAGACAGGTTCCACTGCTGATCCAGAACGGGACGTCCAGCTGGCCCAGGGTCCGAGCTGCTAAAGTCAGCAACGTCTTCGCTTTCCTGCGGAACTCGATGGCAGCCGCTGAGGAGTCATCAGGGTAAAGCTGCATTCAAACACAGCGAAGAGGGAGAGAGGTCACATGACCGAACACCATGCTGCAAAATAAAACAAAACAAACAAACCTGCAGGAAGCTGCGGGCGTCATGGTAACGGCACTCCAGGAACCGCGCCTGTTCCTGCTGCGTCAGGAAACGGGAAATGTTGCGAGGGATACGAACGTCAAGGCCGTCAATGACTGTGAGGATCAGCTCCGGCCTGCAGGGGGCGACAAAGCACAGTCACATGATCATATACCCCAGGGTATTGATTCGTAGATAATTCCCTGATGATCGGACTTTTCCTTTAACGCCTCGGCTGGTTCAGCTGCTCTTCAAAGGAAACCAAAGGAACTGATGACCTTACCGATCGTAGGCGCCGGCGTGGCGTCCGTAGTCCAGCAGCTTGAAGGGAGCGAAGCTGCGGTCCATGTTGGCCTTTAGACGCAGGGCGCCGTGCCACAGGTAGTTCCCGCTGCGCTCGTACAGGAGCACCACCTGGAGACAAGAACAGGTACTACAGCAAACCCAAAGCACCGTACACACGCCCTTCAACAGAACTCTAACTAGTGACAGACAGACGTGGCTCCACCCACATGGATGATGTAACCGTGGAGGCGGAACAGGAAGTGCAGGGGGATCTCCTCTCCTGACAGGGTGTCCAGACTGCCCAGTCGGGGGTCGTGTCCTCGCACCTCCAGCAGCTCGAAGCCTTTCTGTTCAGCGGCCAATAGGAAGCCGGCCTGACGCGCAGAAACGAAACTTAAACAGGAAGCTTTTTTCCTCGGCTCCCGTCAACACGTCACACTCACGCTGTGCTTCCATTGGTTGGCCTGCAGAGCAAAGGATGCGATTGGCCGGCCGGTGCACAGGAAGCTGCAGTGCGGCTCCCGCGTCATGCGGTCGCGCTGCCGCAGAGCGTCCTGGGAGAGCAGAGCCAGCGCGGCGGTGTCGGCGAGGAACAGAGGCAGCCGGAAGTACTGCGCCAACCCCAGGAACTTCTTCAGGGTCTGCTGCAGAGAGAAGGTCCGGGTCAGGCTCAGACAGAGAGGTGGGACCGGGTCAGAACTGGTTCTAACTCACCCATTGGGCTTGGCTGGAGGTCACATGACCTGCAGGGTTCAGGAGAAGACCAGTGTGCTGCAACACAGACACAGCTTTAGACCTTGGTATACGGAATGGGGAGAGGTGGCCTAGTGATTAGGGATTAGAGCTTAGAATCCTAAGGTTGTGAGTTTGAAACCCACTCTGTACAAAAGACCCATAACGCGTCGAGTCGCAATGCAGCCCACTTATCAGAGTGTAATGACAATAAAACGCTAAAACAAGCAGCACCAGAACTGCTTGTCTTTTTGGCTAATGTGACTAATCTGTATTAGCTTGCTCTAGTATAAATATTGGGTGACAACACTGCCAAAGTTAGATTGGTTGGTTTGACCAAAAAATTGGTTGAACACATAATTTCCAACCCGATTAAAAGCAAAAACTCTGGAAAACTATTATGTTTGAATAAAATGACTAACACCTTTCATTTTGTTCATCGTTGCCCAATTTGCACAAACACTTTCACTGCCTGCTTGAGCTTATTTCACTAAAATGGCAGAAAAACTGAGATTTTTCTCTTCTAAGACATTTTACACATAAAAAAAAGATTTTATTATACACACCAATCATTAACAATTTCAAAAGAGCTTATATGGGGGGAAAAACAAGAAAAACCAAAGCAAAACATCTGATTATATTACTAACTGTAGTTCTGCACTTCACCAGTAGGTGGTGACAGATTCAAATGAGGCATCATGAACTGTGGGGATCGCTGAAGCAATTTAGCCAAACGGTTCAATGATGCTTCATCTCACCGGCATCACCACTGCATCCCTTTCTTCTCTCATCCACAACAGTTTACTTGAGCGGGAAGCCCCGCCTCTCACCTTGCTGACGTAGTTCCGGTAGTAATAGAGCTGGAAGAGCAGGAACGCGCAGCTGCTCACGAGCAGCAGCCCAAACACGAGCGTCCGGTTCACGCGAGGCATCCGGTACCGAGCCGTTCATGGCGTCCGAACCGAGCTGATACAATGAGGCAGCGACGCGAAAAACCGCAAGCCGCCCGCCGCCATCTTTAAAATCCAACAGAGGAGCAGCTCCGCCTATTTCCTGTTGACCCTTCGCAATAAAAGTCCCGACATCCTGTTTTTCACAAATCGTTTAAAAATAATCAAAAACAATAATAAAATAAAAAGAATTTACACAACTACAACTTAATTAATATTTATTGACATGATTAGTGTTTGTTTGGCATAAAAACATAAACTAGCGTGGTTTTAAACACACGGGCCCCCTGACTGCTGCAAACAGGATCCAGCCCAAAGCAGATCCTGAGGGATGAAGCAGGAGAAAATGGATGATAAATTCCCATCTTTTTTTATTTTATTATCTTTAAAGTTACAAAAAGACAGACTCACTGCATTTCAGTAAACTCTACCCTGCCAGCCGAGCTTTGCTAAAACGTTTGGCTTCAAATGCAGTTGTAAATTCTGCTTTTTTTTTTTTGTTTTTTGTTTTTTAGAGGAAGAGGATTAGGGCCACTGGAGAAAAAAAAAAAAGTTAACTGATTTTTTAAATTTTATTTCAGTATAGTATGGGGAAAAAGTCAGAATTCTGACTTTATTCTCAGAATTCTGAGATTAAAGTCAGAATTCTGAGATTAAAGTGAGAATTCTGACTTTGATCTCAGAATTCTGACTTTTTTCTCAGAATTCTGATTTTTTTTCCTCAGAATTCTGACTTTTTTTTATTGTCAGAATTCAGTCAGAATTCTGAGAAAAAAGTCAGAATTCTGAGAAAAAAAGTCAGAATTCTGACTTTTTTCCCATGTTAAACTGAAATAAAATTTAAAAATCAGTTTACTTTTTTTTTTTTTTTTCAGTGGCCCTAATTCTCTTCCGTAGAAAACATCTGGAGAAAAGGCAAATAAACTATATATTAATTATAGAAACCAAAGAAATCAATGGTCATGAAGATTTTTTTTCGAGGAAATAAAATAATTTGTAAAATCCATTAATTATCTTAAGTTTCATAAACATTATTGTTTCATGTTAGGAGGGTAGGTTATGAAGCAATTGGGTCAAATTGACTAGAAATGTTTTAATAAATCCAACAGATGCATGAATTCCTTTAAATGACCTTAAACATTTTTCTAAAAGAAAAAACAGATCTTTCTTTTACAAAAACTATTTGGAAAAATGTATTTGGTCAGAACTAAACCTTAGGAAAAAAGACAGAAATGGTTTAATCTTTGATATTTTCATTAAAAATGTGCATAAAAATGAACTAGAAAAGTAATTCCTGCTTTTATGATTCTATTAACAAAAGACATTATAATATATTGAAACATCCCTAAAAGCTTAATAGGGAAAAAACTTTATACATTGAGCAGAAAGAATCTGACATCAATATTCTGTTAATAAACCCTAAAAAAGAAAAATCTATAATAAGATTTGTGAAGAAAATCAGAACCAATCGTTTCCAATCCCACTGAAAGTAAAAGCTGTTCTGTGATGCTATAAAGAAAAACAGAACAATGAAAGTGTAATAACTGAGTAATAAATGTTTCTTTAAATGTTTTTTGAGACTGGATTTAGCATAATTAAACAATTCTACTCTTAAATATTAATAGAAATAGAAGGAGATCATG